GTTTCCCCCTTGACTTTGCTTATCAGAAAGTCGCAAAAGGTCTGACCCCAGGATACTGCAACTGTCATCAATATGAGCCAGTTGCCAAGCATTCAAACTTTGATCATGGGACCATGGAGAGGTTACAATGGTTGTGTGAAAAACAGTCATAAGTCACTTATTTCAATCTATTGTAACTTTGAAAAGAATGGTTGTAAGTTGAGAGCTACCTGTAACATAATTTTTAATGTTTTTACAATAATTTTTATATTATGCAATTCAGGGCATTGTACAAACTAAAACAAGGGTATCAAACTCAAGGCCCGTGGGCCGGATCCAGCCCACGAGGTGCTTAGATCTGGCCTGTAGGGCCACTCTGGAAACAGTGAAGAACCGCCCCGTGGTGCCTCTGCCAACAAAAACAGAGCTCCATTTTCATTGGCAGAGGGTTGCAGGAGGCCGTTGCAGCTGGCAGAGGGCTCAGGCTACCACAGATGCCCCCGCCCTGAGTGACGTTGAGCTGGCCATGTTCATCTTGGCCACACCCACCCCAGGCCCCCAAGGTCAAACACAACCCTGATGCGGCCCTCAATGAAATCGAGTTTGACACCCCTGAACTAATATATAACAAAAGCCAAACCTACTTCTGTAGACAACATATTCTATAATGTGGAAGCAAGGTCAAAAAAGCCTACTTTCTGGCCACTCCTCCTTTCCCTTCCTGCTGAGGCACAACCTTGAGTAGGTCCTATGTAGTGCATTCACATAATGGAAAAAATCGTGTTCCATAAAGTGCTCACTAATATGATTCACAGATGTTGCAAATTATTGTTGCTAAGTGAAACATTTGTTAAGTGAATTTTCCCCTATTTTATAGCATTTTGAGCCACAGTTGTTAAGTAAATCACCATAGTGGTTAAGTTAGTTACAGGGTTGTTAAGTGAATCTGGCTTCCCCATTGACTTGGCTTGTCATAAGGTCGCAAAAGGGGATGACATGATCCCAAGGCACTGCATGATCCCAGATCATAAATACATGCCAGTTGCCAAGCATCTGCATTTTGATCACATGATTATGGAAATGCTGCAGGAGTGGTGTGGTGGCCTAGAGGTGGGGCTTTCACCTCACAATCTGGAGGCTGTGAGTTTGATCCTCGGTAGAGGCAGATATTTCTCTCTCAGCACAATGAGAATGTATCTGCTGAACAAAACTCCATATTGGCGACAGGAAGGGCATCCGGGCATTAAACGCTCTCCTAGCTCCATTCAGTTGCCCGGACTCCACTCTGCAAGGAATTATATGGTCATTAAAAGATGATGATGATGGAGTTTCTACAACAGTCCTAAGTGTGAAAAATGGTCATAAGTCACTTTTTCATGCCGTTGTAACTTTGAATGGACACTAAATGAACTGTTGTAAGTTGAGGACAGAACAGGAACGACAACCCTATCCCTCATTGGGGCACCATGTGCTCATTTGTAGAAGACTGCTTAATACTGTTATCTGGATCAATAGTGTCATATTATACAAACAAAACCAACATGCAAAACAGTTTTAGAATTTGGAATTATATGTCAAGTATATAGCAGCACAGGGTTCTGATCTATGTCAAATATTTTTTCTAGATATCTACAACAGTTCTAACATAGAAAATGAAGCAGTTGTCCATCATTTAATAAACAGATTTTCAAGAATAATATTGGATTTATACGTTTTATCAAGCCATGGGCTCAACTGTTTGCTTGCAGACATTTCATTACCCAGCTAAGTGGCATCATCAGTGTTAGTGAGTGAAGGGTTTGTTCTCTGTTTACATATAGTAGCTTGCCCTGCCAGTGTTAGAGAAGGTATAACTTTCTCCTTGGTATTACCTTCAATAGAGTGTTGTTTTCTGCTTGATGGTTTGTCTGGTGTTAATCCCTGCTGATCTGGGTGTCATTAGCCATATCATTTGAGCTATTTTCTATCCAGCTGAACAGCATATAGAAGGTTTATGTCTGACAGTGGTGGGCAAGTTATGCTTTCATAAGCATAACTTTTTTTTCTTTTTTCTGAGCAGCACCAAGGATTGATTGTATAATGCATGCATAGACCAATTCAAGAAATAATGAGCAACTGGGGTCCCCTTTTTTTTCCAATTTACTCAGCTGGTTTTAAATTCATTATTCTTGGCTGATTCTACTGAACTAAAAGGATTTAAACCGCATGTCCCCTTCTACATGACCCTAGCGGTGGAGGAATATTCAGTCAATTCCATAGAGTCTAGATAAGCCTGGAGGTACTCCAAATGTTTTACAGCTGTAACTTCCAAGATTTCCCAGTCAGCTTAGTCTCTGAAATTACAGTCTTCTCAGCGCATCTGGAAGCTACCAAAGTGAAGAAGGCTTAATGCTAACATTTTCTAACTAAAGAAACTCACAGGCTGCTACACACTACATTCCAATAACCTAAGATGAAATTCTAATACCCATTTGCTAAAGATCACGGCAGCTGTTCAAAGGAAGAGGGAGAAAAATAGTACAGGTGAAACTCAAAAAATTAGAATATCATGCAAAAGTTCATTTATTTCAATAATGCAACTGAAAAGGTGAAACTAATATAAGAGATAAGACTCAGTACATGCAAAGCAAGATAGTTCAAGCCGTGATTTGTCATAATTGTGATGATTATGGCGTACAGCAACTTTTGCATCTCATTTGGAA